AATAAGATTCTTCCTGTAAAAATCTCACCCCTAGACTGAACTTAGGTTATATACTTTCAAAATGACAACTGAATTTTAAAAAGTAAAAACAAAATAATCTTTATATATCTAGAAATATTTTCACATTTTAAGTGGCCATTCTGACATTGATCAGCTTGACTGATTCTGTATTTATGATGTCTAAAAAACATCATTTCATAGTTAAAATAAGGCAAACTCTAACCACTAATATTAGGAATATTAATCTATAGACATCCAGAATGTTCATTCTACACCTTGAGAATGTCATTTTGGGGGTTTTAAGATTATTACCTTAAGTGGGAGTAATAATTCAGAATGCATAAAATTCCACCGGTAAAATGTTCACCAGCAGGTGGAGCCATTGCGCACAGCTCCAAGCTGATACCAAATGTTCCAAACCTCACAGCTCTGGAACTGTTATAGATAGAGGTCTGAAATAGTCTGCATTAATGGATGACATGATGTAGAACAAATATAATACAATAAAACCTGCCTTTTCTCAAGAATGTCTTTATTACTGCTGTTCAAAAAAGACCTATCATTTCCGAGAATAAAGAAAAACAAATCACCACTACCACTACTACTCACCAAATCTAAATTTGAGCTTACAGTTCCTCAGTTATTTGCTTTTCCATTTGGGTGTGCAAAATAGGCCAGGATTACCATAAATGAGGTGGATGTTAAGGGGTTAAAGTAAAAATGTTTTTTCAGCTATCAGGAATACACATTCAGTAAAAATGGCTTGCCATTTTGATATGTAGTCTGTTGTGGCCGTGATGATAAAAACTGTCTGTTTGCAACCGTGCTTCAGATGTTATCATCCCAATAAATGGTTATTATTAGCTGCTATAAGGCACATAGAATGCCTTCAGATTGAGCCGGTAGACTCAGTAGATTGTTATCATCGTGTTTATCCTAATCATAACCCTACAGTAATTCCTTTTCACCCGCAGAATTATTGAAGTTATTTATAAGTAAACTGAAAATGATTTCAGGAGTTTTTCATGTACTGTAAACATAAATAAATAAAAATAAAATGATCCGCATCCCACTCATATTAAAAAAACCAAAAACAAGTACAGGTCCTTCTCAAAATATTAGCATATTGGGATAAAGTTAATTATTTTCCATAATTTAATGATTAAACTTGAACATTCATATATTTTAGATCCATTGCACATTAACTGAAATATTTCTGGTCTTTTATTGTCTTAATACGGATGATTTTGGCATACAGCTCATGAAAACCCAGAATTCCTATCTCCCAAAATTAGCATATCATGAAAAAGGTCTCTAAAGGAGCTATGCACCTAATCATCTGAATCAACAAATTAAACACCTGCAAAAGATTCCTGAGACCTTTAAAACTCCCAGCCTGGTTCATCACTCAGAACCCCAATGATGGGTCAGACTGCCGACCTGACTGCTGTCCAGAAGGCCATCACTGACACCCTCAGCGAAGAGGCTATGACACAGAGAAATGATTCTGAACCAATAGGCTGCTCCCACAGTGCTGCTGCATCAAGGCACCTCTGTGGGAAGGAAAAAGTGTGGCAGAAAAAGCTGCACAACCAGAAGAGGTGAGCCGACCCTGAGGAAGATTGTGGAGAAGGGCCGATTCCAGACCTTGAGGGACCTGAAGCAGTGGACTGAGTCTGGAGTAGAAACATCCAGAGCCACCGTGCACAGGGGTGTGCAGGAAATGGGCTACAGGTGCTGCATTCCCCAGGTCAGCCACTTATTAACCAGAAACAGCAGCAGAGGCGCCTGACCTGGACTACAGAGAAGCAGCTCTGGACTGTTGCTCAGTTATGCAGGTCATCTGGAAATCAAGGTGCCAGAGTCTGGAGGAAGACTGGGGAGAAGGAAATGCCAAAATGCCAGAAGTTCAGTGTGGCTGCTGGTGTTGGTCCACTGGGTTTTATCAAGGGCAGGGTCAATGCAGCTATCAGGAGATTTTGGAGAACTTCATGCTTCCATCTGCTGAAAAGCTTTATGGAGATGAAGATTTCATTTTTCAGCACCACCTGGCAGCTGCTCTCATAGCCAAAACCACTGGTAGATGGTTTACTGACCATGGTATAACTGTGCTCTATTGGCCTGAACCCCATAGAGAATCTGTGGGATATTGTGAAGAGAAAGTTGAGAGAGGCAAGACCCAACACTGTGGATGAGCTAAAGGCTGCTATGGAAGCATCCTGGGCCTCCATAACACCTCAGCAGTGCCACAGGCTGATTGCCTCCATGCCACGCCGCATTGAAGCAGTCATTTCTGCTAAAGGATTCCCCACCAAGTAATGAGTTCATAATTGTACAGAATTATTTGAAGGTTGACTTTTTTGTATTAAGAACTTTTCTTTTATTGGTCGGATGAAATATGCTAATTTTGTGACATCGGAATATTGAGTTTTCATGAGCTGGATGCCAAAATCATCCGTATTAAGACAATAAAAGACCTGAAATATTTCAGTTGGTGTGCAATGGATCTAAAATATATGAATGTTCAAGTTTTATCATTACATTATGGAAAATAATTAACTTCATCACAAAATGCTAATATTTTGAGAAGGACCTGTAATCTCATCTGCAGCCAACCAGGTTAGTTCTAGGGAGAATGCTACCATGGTAACAGAAACAGAGGTGGAGGAAACTCGCTTTGTGAAATGGAAAAGACAGAGTTTTCCTGTTTTTTCAAGTTTAGAAAACTCAGAGTTTTTAATAAACCTGCTTTGTGAAACGGACCCCTGTACTTCCATAGCGCTTTTTCAAGTCATCAGTTAATTTTACAAGTTGTCTTTGCTGGTTTGCTGTGAGATATCACTGCAGAATGTTTGTCTGTTATCATCACAATCATTCATTGGGTCAGTTTAAAGCACACCTGGCAAGCGTTCATTGTCATCGTCCCTAAGCCTTTAAGTCGCTGTTAAGGGCTATCATTGTTTGATGAAGTACTTTTTTATGAAGAGATAATACAAAGTTGGAAAATTACATACATCTGGCAGAACTTGTTTGGCGTCTCTAATGTTTTTATACATATTGAACACCCTACAGAGAGCAGAAAATCAAAAATTGTGATTTAAAAAAAGGGAGGGCTAAAATAAGAATGTTTCATGTATATTTGGGAACTTGGTGACATGGAGGGTTACTAACATTATTCAACAAATTAACAAGATAAAGATTTGAGGTACTCCCCAAAGGTTGCCCAATCGCGAGAACATGTTGCGATTGAAGTAGCCTCAAAAATGACCTTACAGTGTTTAGCCATTTTAAGACTTTGGTGCTCTGATGACATGCATGAGATCAGTGTAGCCCCAAGACCTGAAACTCAGTGGGGGAAACGGAGATGGAAAAAAGATGGATGCCAGCTGGAACAGGGCGCAGGTTTGTATGAACCTCCATGATTAGCAAGCATAGAGTGACAGTGGAGAGGAAAAACTCTCCCTGCTTATCAGTGTCTGGCAGAACTGAACATGGTGGTCTTCTGGACTGGCTGGGGATGCATTGTGAGTCCAGGGAATTACTGCAATGGGGGCAAGGTAGCAGCATGGAGGAGGAGCCAGTGTGCTAGAATGGTGGAGGAGGGGATGGAGGAGCATCGAACCAGGATCACCAAAGTCTGACATCCAATCCAACGCAGATCCTTGTTGGTGGCAGGTTGAGCTGTTGATTGGGGTATTTTAAGAAGAACAAAGAACATTAACTGGATTACTTCACTTGAGTCATTTTTGAAGCGGTTCTTATAAAATTCATTCCAATATATTATAAAGTGAAATATTGGCATTTCTACTTCACTACTTTTCTATGAAGCTGTTAGCTACAAGTTATTTGTCTGATTTTTTGGCTACTCTACAGATTAAACATGATAATTCTATTGAATAAATGAGATAATTATATAATAGAAAGTAAAATAGTAATAGAATAGAAAGTAAAAAATAAGGTTCAGTAAAACCACTCCTAGAAGTATATTGTAGTGATTATTATTATTTTTTTTAATAACTATGAATAACTGTTTATTACTGACTGTTAGTGAAACAGTCAGTCCAGCTTTTATTGAGTTTGAAAGAGAGAAACTGGGATTGGGCCTAGGACTGGGACTGGGACTGGAATTGGGACTGGGACTTCGGCAATCATCGGACTGATTCGGAGCTCCGGAAGCAGCCGAGTCTTAGCGGAGCTGTCCGGAACATCCGGCTGGAGCTTCTTAACATAAACAGAAATGGCGGAGGCAGCAGCAGCGTCTACGGCGGCTTCTTCACCCACAGGCGGCTGGACGAAACAAGTCACCTGCAGGTAGAGGCTGAAGCGGAGCCTCCCGGCAGCAGGAGAGGCTGAGCTGCTGGAGGAGGCGATGGTTGCTGGTGGAGGAAGCTAGCAGCTAGAATAGGAAGCTAACAGCTAACTGAGCTAGCTGCTAGCTCTGTTATTGTGCTAACTATTGAGGCTAACTGGCTACATTCTGTCAACAATAACCAGACTAGCTCTGAGATACAGACTTCTAAACACTGCTGATTAAACCCTGACGGCTTTATAAAAACATGTAACAGTAGAAGCGGTGCTAACTGACCGTTAGAGAAACAGTCAGTCCAGCTTTTAGTGAGTTTGAAACTAAAGAGAATAATGATATTTATCCACAGCTGTTCCACTTCACATTTCTATCTAAACTTGTCTTGTTTGTGTTGTTGTCTGTTTGCAGGTATTTTCTGCACGGCCTTTGCAAAGAAGGAGATCATTGTAGATACTCTCACGACCGTTCTAGCAGCAAACCTGCAGCCATGATCTGCAAGTTCTTCCAGAAGGGAAACTGCGTGTTTGGAGACCGATGCAGGTAATTTCCAGTGAGAGAATCTGCAAACCGGCCAGTGAATCACTGAACCAGACATGGGACCAACAGTCCTGCCCTCCTGTTGG